AAGAACACNCAATACCCTTGTATTCAAGCAACATGAAAGTTAGCTATTTTTATGATTTTCCATTAAGGGGTCAGACGTCCTGTTCTTCAAGGTTTGTAAAAACCCAGGGGGAAAGAACAAAGTGGAACAGAATGCATTCAGGGAAGCATATTGTTTTTTTAGCAAATTCTGTTTTAGATTTTGATACTTTCCAGCAAGAAAAGAACACACACATGTGTCAGAGCAAGTATGCCATAAAAGTAATCAAGGCCCAAGGAGTCTTAACTAGGTCTTTCCTCCCACCGTCCATGTGCGGTTAGCGTATGTTGCCTGGAGAACAGAAATAGGAGGATAGCCATAAAGGAAGATTCTTGCCCATATGGACTTAAAGGCTGGGCTCCACTGTTCAATAAAGTTCACAAATTAAGCACAGGTCCCATCAGAAGATCAGGTAGGACAGAAAACATTGTCACCACGAAAGATAAGCACAAGCTGAGCTCTGTGTGCAGGATAAACAAAGACCACTTAATCGGGCACGAAGAATCAGGGCCGCCTGTGAAGTTCTAGTTAAGCTGATTTATTGCTCATGCTCATACATAAAAATCGGTCAACTAACGGCCAGCATTAAATTGGCGCTTGATAAGAGTCAAGAACACTTAGACTTAGACCATTCGTTCGTTCATTCATTCAGATTTAGACCATTTATTGGAACCAGATTCCAGGCTAATTCCTCTCTTGACTCCACCCCCAGGTTCTATGTCATTGTCCTATAGCAGGGGTAGTCAACCTTGGCTCTTTTATGACTGGTGGACTTCAACTCCCAGAATTCCTGAGCCAGCCTGGCTCAGCTTGGAAACCTCTCCCTTTCCCCTCAGCATGCCTGGCTCAGGAATTCTGGGAGTTGAAGTCCACGAGTCATAAAAGGGCCACGCTTGAAGACCCCTACCCTAGGCCTAGAGTCTAGACCAGGGGTAGGCAACCTTGGCTCTTTTGTGAATCGTGGACTTCAACTCCCAGAATTCCTGAGCCAGCATGAGGGAAACTTTGACCCCTTCATGACTCGTGGACTTCAACTCCCAGAATTCCTGAGCCAACATGGCTCAGCCTGGAAACCTCTCCCTTTCCCCTCAGCATGGCTGGCTCAGGAATTCTGGGAGTTGAAGTCCACAAGTCATAAAAGCGCCAAGGTTGCCTACCCCTGCCTCAGTCGTATCCATGATAGCATGGATGGACAGAGTTGCCCTTGTGGAGATGGACGGCATACAAGATGGACGGATGGAAAAACTAAGGCACTATTATTACACAGGCGTCCTATCCTGCCTCTGTTGTATTGATTCATATAAAGCAGACTGTGTAAAATAGATTCTTCTTCTTCCTCTTCCTTCCCCCTTCCTCTTCCTCCACTCTCCCCTTCCATTTTTATTACTGCATTATATTTTTATCTCGCCTTCTTTATCATATATTTGGACAACTTATTATCAACTTATTACCAGCTAAGGCAAAAAGCAATGTGACTGGAATTAAAAATAGAGCGCACACAGAGTAGACAGAAGATTAATCTAAACAATGAACAAATGAATGAATGGTTACTGTTATGAGGCTAGATATTTCCAGGAGGCACTAAAGAAAGTTTGTTTGTGGCCAAGAAGGCTTGGTTAAGCTTAGGGTTATGTCGGGAAACCATTACTGTTTAAGCAAGCTCACTTAACAAGGATGGTTCCCATACATACAACGCATCATGCAGCATGATAAGTATAATCATTGATAGCAGAACTTTGGAACCTTCAGGAAGACAGAATAATAAAACGGAAGGACTCAGATGGAACGCCAAATCCTGATCCTGAAAAAGGATGAGCGACCGTTTGGCATCCAGAAGTCCCAGGAAAGTTCAGGAAAGAGCTGTGGGTGCTGTGAATTCACATGTAACACTTTTTTACACGATGTAAAAAAGATGCTGACACTCTAGATCAGGGGTAGTCAACCTTGGCTGGCTCAGGAATTCTGGGAGTTGAAGTCCACGAGTCATAAAAGAGCCAAGGTTGACTACCCCTGATCTAGATGGAGTACAGAGAAGAGCAACAAAGATGATTAGGGGACTGGAGGCTAAAACATATAAAGTTGCTGGAATTGGGTATGTCTAGTTTAACGAAGAGAAGGACGAGGGGGGACATGATAGCCATGTTCCAATATCTCAGGGGCTGCCCCAAAGAAGAGGGAGTCAAGCTATTCTCCAAAGCCCCTGAAGGCAGGACAAGAAGCAACGGATGGAGAAACTAACCAAGGAGAGAAGCAACCTGGAACTAAGGAGAAACTTGCTGACAGTGAGAACAATTAACCAGTGGAACAACCTGCCTCCAGAAGCGGTGAATGCTCCAACACTGGAAGTTTTTAAGAAGAGACTGGACAGCCATTTGTCTGAAATGGTATAGGGTTTCCTGCCTGATGACTAGATGACCTCCAAGGTCCCTTCCAACTATTATTATTATTATTATTATTATTATTATTATTATTATTATTATTATTATTATTATTATTATTATTATTATTACTACTACTACTACTACTACTACTACTACTACTACTACTACCACCACCACCACCACCACCACCACCACCACCAAAGTCTGTGTGGGGATGGAGGAAGAGGAAGGCTTATCTTATCCCCCATCCAAGCCTTCCCCCCCCCATGGAAAAAGTGGGACATTAGGCACCCATTTCTGGCTGGTTGGTTGTTGCAATTTTAAAAGCATGCAAGGAAAAAAGTCTGCAGAATCTCAGGTTGAAAGCTTTCTTCTGGTTTAGTGCCAGGTAAATAAACCCCACATTCCTAGGTTCCCATCTTTCTCTGCCCTGCAACATTTTCAAGAGAGGATAAACTGTGATCTGCCTGCAGGATGAATCTACAAACCATTCAGCGGGTTCTAAATCCAGATTTAGAAGAGGCAAGAAAGAGCGTCTGTATCTACTTCATAAGAAATGTGTGTGCTGAGAAGATATCCCAGCTTGACTACAACAGCGAAACGCACACATAGTATACGACTGCCGTTCTCGACAACGCTGTGGTATTTCATCCAGGAAACAATTTACGTTTGAAGTATCTTAACTGTGCAGTTGAAACATCCTCTCCAAAATTAAATTATTCAGCTGCCGTACATCAGCACCCTCTGGTGTTCAAAATATTTCTGAGGCCCTTTTTGACTCTCAAGTTATGTTTAAACACAANAGGGGGTTGGACTTTATTGTTGTTGTTGTTATGTTTCCTGCCCAAGCAGGGGGTTGGACTTTATTGTTGTTGTTGTTATGTTTCCTGCCCAAGCAGGGGGTTGGACTTTATTGTTGTTGTTGTTATGTTTCCTGCCCAAGCAGGGGGTTGGACTTTATTGTTGTTGTTGTTGTTATGTTTCCTGCCCAAGCAGGGGGTTGGACTTTATTGTTGTTGTTGTTGTTATATTATTATTATTATTATTATTATTATTATTATTATTATTATTATTATTATTATTATTATTATTATTATTATTATTATTCCTTATGGGAAAAATGTGTTTGGTACTCATCGTTTTTGGTACTCATTGTGCTTCCTGGAACCAACTAATGAGGAGTTCATTACAGAGAGTGCCGTGACAGAGTAATCCTCAATTTACAACCATTCATTTAGTGAGTGCTCAAAGTTTCACTGGCATCGAAAAAAGGGACTTATGACCAGTTTTCACACTTACGACCACTGCATGGTCACGTGATCAAAATTTGGGGTGTTTGGCAACCAGCCTGTATTTATGACAGCTACGCAGTCCTGGGCTCCTGTGATCACCGTTTGTAACCTTCCCACATGGCCTCCAACAAGCAAAGGCACTGGGAGAAGCCTGACTCCCATCACGACTGCAGTGTTCCACTTAACAACTGTGGCAAAAAGGTTGTAAAATGGGGCAAAACTCACTTAACATCTGCCTTGCTTAGCAAGAGAAAAATTGGGCTCAGTTGCGGTTGTAAGTCCTTCCCAAAGTGTTTGTAAAGATGTCCACCAGCTCAGAGCAAGAATATTTGGTAAGCAAGTCAAGTTAACCAACCTCTTTTTTGTGATGATCTAAATTATGGTAAGCAGGAGAAAGGAGGATTCCACTGCTTTGAGCAGCCAGTTGTGGGGCTTTTACCTAAGAAGAGGCTTTTCGTTCAACTAGCTAGGAAACCTGAGAATTTCATTAAGATTACCGCGATGTAAAAAAGATGTTGAGACTCTAGAAAGAGTACAGAGAAGAGCAACAAAGATGATCAGGGGACTGGAGGCTAAAACATATAAGGAACGGTCGCTGGAATTGGGGATGTCCAGTTTAATGAAGAGAAGGACGAGGGGGGACAGGATAGCAGTGTTCTAGTATCTCAGGGGCTGCCCCAAAGAAGAGGGAGTCAGGCTATTCTCCAAAGCTCTTGAAGGCAGGAGAAGAAGCAACAGATGGAAACCAATCAAGGAGAGAAGCAACCTAGAACTAAGGAGAAACTTCCTGACAGTGAGAACAATTAACCAGTGGAACAACCTGCCTCCAGAAGCGGTGGATGCTCCAACACTGGAAGTTTTTAAGAAGAGATTGGACAGCCGTTTGTCCGAAATGGTATAGGGTTTCCTGCCTCCTCCTCCTCCTCCTCCTCCTCATTATCATCATCATCATCATCATCATCATCATCATCATCATCATTATTATATTATTATTATTATTATTATTATTATTATTATTAATTATTCCGATGCACCACTCTCAAAAGAAAGAAAGCAACCAAGAAAATAGGGTCGCCCTCCCAAGGATAACAATAATATAATAACAGCAGCAGCAAAGTGCCAAGTTATACAAAAATGACACCAAAACCCGTACGTGTGTGTGTGTGTGTATCACGGTACGTTTTGAATCATGGTGGAAAAAAGAGTCTTCAGAGTTAACAAGGTTGACACTATATGGCACAGTGTTATGACAGAATCTGCTTGTTCTGTTTTCATTACTAAATATAATTGCTCAGTGTGTAACACCTACCTGTTTGTGGGGATGGTAAAGGTAAAAGAAAGCAACTGATTCCAAAAGGGGTCGTTCTCGGAGATGGACTCTCGCCCTGTCAGTTTCTTTAAATATTCGTTTTCTGGAAGGTCATGGATGCTGCTGCTTGCTGCCCCCATCTTCTCCTCAATCCAGGCTGCACTTTTCAGGGTTTCATGTCACGGACGAAAAGCCTGAAATCAGATGGAGGAGACTGAGAATACAATAACGTCGTCACCTGCAGCCTGTCTGGAAATATATATACGAAGTGCTATAAAAACGAACGTTATAAAACCACAATGCAGAGCACCAAGTCAGAAATCCCAAGACGCTTTCTGGGGGGAAAAAATTAAGGTTACGTACTTGGCAGGAAATATGGAAGGCAATAAAGGAGAATATTTGTAGCTCAGGGTTGAAATGAGGGATCCCTGGTTCTCTCTGAGCTGGGTGGTTTTCTTGCAGACGTTTCATTACCTGACTAGGTAACATCTTCAGTGCTAGAAGGGAATGAAGATTGGAGGAGGAGGAGGAGGAGGAGGAGGAGGAGGAGGAAGAAGAAGAAGAAGAAGAAGAAGAAGAAGAAGAAGAAGAAGAAGAAGAAGAAGAAGAAGAAGAAGAAGAAGAAGAAGAAGAAGAAGAAGAAGAAGAAGAAGAAGAAGAAGAAGAAGAAGAAGAAGAAGAAGAAGAAGAAGAAGAAGAAGAAGAAGAAGAAG